ACACACACACACACACACACACACACACACACACACGAATCTTTTCCATTTTCTGAGAACCCTGCTTTGCTCAGTTCCCATTTGTAATATCCCTCCCTGCCAGTACTAGATCAGAAGCAGATACCCCAGCTCTCCACAACCCAGCAGAGAAACATATGCTCAGGAAGAGTGTCTATGGATACCCAAGCAGAGGTAGTTATACCCTGGCAACACCCCAGGTCTTTTTCAGCATCCTACTTACCAAGGACCAGAAGCAGTGACCACAGCAGCATGAGGCTGGAGGCAAGTCCTTTGTGACTGGAGCAGCTAAGTGCTTAGAGCAGATGGACTGTGGATCTAGGATAGAACACTGGTTCTGCAGGGATCTTGCTGAAATAGGGGGAAAAAAGGAAGTGGCAAAACTGTCTGTCTATACCCCAACCCAATGGGTGCTGCAAAAGCAAATGTCCTTCCTCTTTGTCAAATTGCTTAGATATGTGTGCACTGGTACAAAATGATTCTTACTGTGTTGGATGCCTCCCCTTTACACATGGCTTTTCATTGCATTTGACTTTACAGAGAAGACTGGGTTCTGCCGCCACTGAGATTGAAATCAGGTTTGAGGTCATTTCCAAAAATGAATCTCCTTTGCTACTCACGAGGCAGTTCCTAATAAGTGACACCATTGCCAGCCCTGGATTGACTCCTCTGCAGAGGTCCATCCAGACTAGGCAGTAGAAAATGAAAGATATGATGCCAGATCTTCATGTTGTTGTTTGGCAGTATGCATACTCTAAAGACCCAGAAAAAACTAATCCCTGCTCATCACTTCTGTTCAGGAGATCTTTTAGCCAGATCCAGATAGGAATTAAGAAGGAGGATAGACACAGCCTGGCTACTGGAGGCTTTATCTCTGAACTGTACTAGAGCGATCTGAAGGGCCTTGGCTCACACAGGAAAGATTCTTCTTACACTCCAAATGACATGGAAGGACATAGGTGCGTGTGCAGGGCTGGGGTGGGGTGGAAGGTGCAGGGGGGTTGTGACACTCGCTGTGATGGTTGGTTTCCTGTCAGCTGACACAAACTGCTGTCGTCTGGGAAGAGGGACTCTTGACTGAGAAAACGCTTCCATAGAGTGGCCTGCAGGCTAGTCAGGAGTGCGTTTTCATGACTAGTGATTAATGTGGTGGGCTGAGATGGCTGGGAGAGTTACCACTGGCCAGGGAGTCCTGGATTATATAAGAAAACAGACTGAGTAAGGCCCAGGAACAATCCATTAGGTAGTGTTCCTCCATGGCTTCTGCTTCAGTTCCTGCCTCCAGGCCTGCTCTGACTTCCCTTCAGGATGGACTGTGACCTGGAACTGTATGCTGAAATAAACTCTTTCTTTCCCAGGTTGCTTTTGATCATGGAATTTTATCACAGCAACAGAAACTCTAATCAAAACACCAGATATGCACACCAGTGCATGGGTGGTTGCAGGGATTTTGCATTTCCCCAATGGTACATCCTACAACTCTCCTTACAATTCTAATGGAACTCACATGTATTGCTTCGTTGTCTCAGTCTGGAGAAGACTGCTAGGGGAATGGGAAGAATCATTAAAGTAATGGTAATTTTCTCTGTGTTGCTTAACATTACAGCTTCAGGGAGAAGATCCAATTAATGTAAAATAATCCCCCTCTCAGGCCAACAGGACCTATGGTTGGAAAAGAAATAGTTGCTCTAGCAACATTCTAGGAGACAGATTTCTATGTGTTCAGCCTCCAGTGGTTCATCTCTTATGCTGGTACCCTGCACCCTACCAAACTTAAGTCACGGACACTCCTAGAAAGATTTACAAAGAGTGCAATGGAGTGGTTTCCTTAAAGCAGTTGTTCTCAACCTTCCTAATGCTGAGACCCATAAATACAGTTCCTTGTGTTGTGGTGGCCTCCAATTATTGCTACTTCATAACTAATTTTGCTACTGTTATCAATTGTAATGTAAGTATCTGTGTTTTTCCATTGTCATAAGCAACCTCTTTGAAAGGGTTATTTGAATCCCAAAGGGATCATGACCCACAGGTTGAGAACTGTTTCTCTGAGTCCAGCACAGGCTGTGAAGTCAAGCCTGGAATATGTGACAATCTAGAAAGTAGGTGATACAAAGTGAACAACTTTTGGCCCTATATTAGGCCTGGCTGTTGGCTTGGGTGCATATACAGAGACACAGGGTTAGTCATAGACACAAAAGGATCACTGCTCCAACACATGCCTGTACCAGTAGCAACTCCTGCCTTTCTCTAGGACTAAAGATATCCCAAAAAACACATGTACAAGCATAAGTGCCCTGATTCAACTCTGGAAATAGATGGCACATAGAGTTATCAAGTCATTTAGAAATAGTGGGTGTCCAAGGAGTACTCCGAAGAGTGGAGATATCCAAGACTCTAAATTGACATCTGTAAATCTTTCTGCTACGAGAAAGGGAAAATGAAAATATATCAGAAAGTTAGTCCCACCAGGAAAAATCTACCCTGCTCTCTGTCTCTATCTCTCTTTGTCTCTGTCTCCTTCTCCCTCTCCCTCCAATCCTCATTCTTTCCTCTCCCCTTCCCTTTTTCTCTCTCTCTGATAAAACTCAGGACCTTGAAGATCAATCAGTTCTACAATAGTTTCAATGTAATACTCCAGTCAGCCAATCTAGACTCAGAAAATAAAACTAAAACAAGGTCAGCTCAGGCAGGCCCGAAGCTTCTCTCTCCCATGTTTGGCAGGACTATGGGCAGACACAGACATTGAGATTCCAGGAAATGGGCTCAGGAGATAGGAAGGTAAAGTGTTTGTCATACAAGCTTGAGTTCAGAACTCTAGCACTCACTTAAAATGCTGGGTGTGTCAGTGTGAGCCTGTAATCCCAGTGCTGGGTCTTGAAAGCTTGCTGTCTGCTGGTCTAATCCATCAATAAGCTCCAGTTTCAGCAAGATCTAATCAACATCATCATCATCATCATCATCATCATCATCATCATCATCATCATCATGTGGAGAGTAAGAAAGACATCTGATGTAAAGTTCTGACTTACAAATACATGTACACAACACACACACACACACACACACACACACACGCGCGCGCGCGCGCGCACGCGCGCAAAGAAAGTGACCAACTTTTTAAGAGAAGACTCAGAACCCAAAGAGAGATTTACATGCCAGGCTCTGGGTGTCTGTGAAGAGTAAGCAAAGCTTCCCTGGGGGTAGATATACTTTTTTAAATTGTTTGATAGTTTCACACATACATCCAATGTGTTTTGATCCAAGCTCCCCTTCCTCTGCACTCTAGTCCTTCCTCTAGACCACTCCCTACTATTTGTTCCCTTGAAACTTAATGTGTCTTTTTTATTTTTCACCCATTGAGTCCGCTCAGCACTGTGTATGTGTCTAGGTGTAGGATCTCAGGGGCTACATCCTTGATGAAAACAGACTCTCCCCCTCTCAATGGCCATCAGTTGTGAAAAGCTCTCAGCTGCAGGCGGGACATCATGACTACCTCCATGCATGAATTTTATCTGGCATAATCTAGTACATGCTGTCATATCTTCTGCATGTTCATATGTGCAACCACCCTATTCTTAGAAGTTGTTAGAAAATAGCACTCTTATACTTGTTTGGTGCCTCTTCTGAGATGCTTCCTGAGCTGTAGGAGGAAGAAATGTGATGTAGACATCCCATTTAGGACTGAGCACACCACGGTCTCTTGTTGTCTGCACGTTGATCTGCAGTAGGTTGCTGTGTTAATTGACATCTACTACTGAAAGGAACTTCCTTGATGAGGGTTGAGAGATGTGCTAACCTATAGGTATAATTATAAGTCAATGGGAGTTGGTTTAATACTATTACGTTAATGAGATGATATTTATAGGTTCGCTCTTAGGGTGTGTGATCTATCTAACCACATATGTGGATAAAAATTTTGCTTTGGGACTCACAAAGGTTCAGACTGACTGACTGATAATGGCACTAGAAATTTTATTACCCAATGCACAGCAATGAGTGTGTGTCAAGTGTAGCACTTCTTGGTTCTGAGGGACTTGTCTGGATATCAGAAACAAACAAAAATGTGGACAAACCCTTGACCTCACATGTCTGGAGCTGATATGGAGCTTTGGGAACCTTTGTTTGGACTCATGTATCCTAGACTTGGACCTGAAGGAAAGAAGTAACCTTTAAGGCTGAATCTTCAGAGACAGCCATGAGGAAAGCTGGCATTCTCTTAGCCAGAGAACATGGGCATGCACAGCTCAGTAAGGCACACATTGGGAAGCAATAACCATGCTGCTACGTTAGCTAATACTACAGAAGAAATGGTGGCTTATGCACCCAGGAGTAGAGAGGGAAGCCTAGATCTCTCCCATGATGGTTCGATGGCTGCCCAGTCTCTCTCAGAGTGATGTAATCAGAGAAGCCTGGGAGGAGCTTGCTGGCTGGTTAAGTGGAGGCTGTGAGGAGTCAGGGGTCCACTCCTGCCCAATGGTAATGAAGTGGCTTCTCTCCACCTTTTGTTTCTTCTATTGTATGGCGACTTAATCTAGTGGCCATTTGTATTGTAGTAAAAAGTTCATAGTACAAAATTACAATTTAACCATTTTCAGTAGATGGTTCTTTAGCATCGAGTACATTGATGCATTCATCACCACCGTCCATGTCCAGAATGTTTCATCTTTCTAAATGGAACACTGCCCATTAAACATTAACTTTCTATGTCTCCTCCTCTTAGCCCCATAACCACCATTATTAGAGATTTTCATACAAGTGTAATCATAACAGTGTTTGGATTGTGTGTGTGTGTGCCTGTGTATTTCACTTACCATAATATTTTCAGAATTCATCTGTATTGGAGGAAATGTCACAATTCTCTTCTTTTTTAAGGCTAAACAATGTTCTGTTGTGTGTATATATACACCTATATGCCATATCTTGTCCAGTCATGTGTTGCTAGACACTTTTATGACTGTCTTTAATGCTTTCATGAGTAGTTATAGTGGCTACCTTTGCATGTGATCATTGGCCCTCTGTGTCTTATTTGAAGAAATATCTGTTCAAATATTTGGCTCAATAATAAACTTGGTTCCTTATAGAACATAATTTAAATTCAATCAGAAAGGGGTTGATTAACTCCCAACACATTTGTGTCCTCACTGGGCCAGTGACCATGTCTTACCCACTAGTCACTGATGTACCTTGCAGAGTTCACAGCTGGATAACATGGATAGTTACTTCTCTCTGCTGGTAATATGCATAACATCTTCCAACACTATGTAAGCTAGCCATTAGGGATGAATCTCTAAGGTTATTACTAACTGAAGTTTTCTATGTTCTGTTACTCAAATACATGATGTCTTCACCAA